GACTTTTGTCAACATAACTTTCTGATATGCATCTACTGAAAATAATATAGTTGATTTAACCAAATAATATATTTTTAATAATGAACGATTAACATATTAAGCAAATCGCAACAACGAATGTTCAATCATGAAAAAAATACTTAAGCAATATATGATTATTACCGGTCTTGAATAACATTTAAATTTAAAAAATACTAATAAATAATTTTTGGAAAAATATGACTTCTATAATTTCAAAAAATAGGGTAACTGCTCCAGTCTCTTTGAAAAAAAAAATATATATATACATTTATTATTGAATTATACATAAGTATATTTTCTTGTAGTTGTTTATTACTTAAAATTATAATAAATTATTCTTGTTAAATCAAAAAATAAAAAAAAATTAATTTGCTTGTTTGAAACATAAGAAGTTTAAAGATTATGTATGGGTGCCAACGACTGGAAATTGGTGTCATTATATCATTATTAGATAATTTAAAAGTTTCAGTTTAATTTTATTCAAAATTTATCATTTTATCGTATTCTGCATTAAATTCTGAATACATATTTTACTATAAGTATTATATAATATTAGTTTTTATCTATTAAAATAATTCCTAAAGTCAAAATTTGGTTTTAAGGGTGCCAACGACTGGAGCAGTTACCCTATTAAGAATTCAGGGTTGCCACAAATATTTAATTTTATTTTTCCCTGACTTTTCCCTAATTTCCAGACAAAATTCTCACTTTTTCCCTGACCCTAAAAAATATTCTGATTCACTCTAAAAACTATTAAAAACTCAAAAAAATGTTCTATAACATTTATTTATGAATTTCATTAATTGTAAAATTATTCAAAAACATCAATAATTTCTTTTTTAAATAAATATAATTAAATCATTATTATTTTTCCGTAGGAATTAAAATTCTTCAATACATTCAAATTCAAACCTTTTTAAAATTCAACAATTTATAAGAATATTATTACAAAACATAAAGAAGGTGATTACTCCAAGTCTTCGACTCGGAGTGATCGCCTTCTTTATATTTTGTTATAATTTAAATTACCATGAAATTTTTCAAAAAGAATTTTATTATTTATCAAAATCCTAATAAAATCCTTCGCAAGAATTCAATTATTTTCAAAAAGTAGTAAATTTTCTCAACAAAAAAATTCTCATAAAGAATTTTATCAACAAATTTTTAAATAATTCAATTATTTTGACAAATTTTAATGAAATTTTTAAGAATAATTATATTTATCGAAGAATTTAATCAGAATATTGTATCAAAAATTAATTAAAATCCTGCGATGAGTTTCATTATTTATAAAAATAATTGAATTCATGCGACGAATTTTATAAAACTCTTTTTAATTAATTGAATTTCTGTGACGAATTTTATTATTTATGGAAATAATTGAATTATTTCAAAGAAATTTATTAAATATTTTATAAATTATTGAATTCCTGTGAAATTTTAACGAGAATTTTATTCAAGTTTTTAAAAATAATTGAATTTCGAAGAAGAATTGTACTATTTATAAAGATGATACTGAACTGACGTAACTTTTCAAAAATTCAATTTTTTTTTTATTATTTTTAACTAAATTTTTTTTATCAATTTAGTATTTATGAAAATTGTAAAAATGATTCATTAAATCACGTATGAGTCATAATTTTATGATAGTTTTTGTAAAATTAAGTTATTTAAAAAAAAATTATTGTCTGAAATAGAAAAAATTCAAGGTTTTGTATTAAAATTCGTGGTAATTTCATAGTTTACGAGACAAACAAAAAAAATATCAAATTTCAGAGTTTTTTCATGAATTTTTAAAATTCAATTTTTCCAGTACATTTGCTAAAAATCCCTGACTTTTCCCTGAATTCCCTGACCTGTGGCAACCCTGGACTCAATTACTATAAAAATGACAAGAAATATAAAAATACTTATAATTTATTTGCAAATGACTTCGCAAATTTTTTTTGTTAAATTATTTTCAATATAATTTTACGAAATTTTAGTTTCATAAAAAATGCATAATCATTTATCTAAAAAAATTAAATCATATTTAGGAAAGTAATTATCCTATGATCTATATTTAATTTAATAGTTATTATATACTTACAGTCAGCAAGATTAAGAACTGCATTTGAATGCGGTTTTGCATTTGACTGATTTCCTCCATTATTAGACGGCATACCATTGTCACCAGCTGAATCTTGCAATAAATTTGAATCTTGTGGTTCCTCTTTATCTAAGGAGTTTGAGTTTACCTCTTCAGGATTAGAGACTGTCAAATAAAAAATGAAATATTTTCAATTAAAACTCTAACAATTTAATTGTATTTAACGATAAATCTTTTACAATTAAAATATTGGTACAAAATTTTGTTAAAAATGTCTGATTTCAAATTTAAATTTGATGATTTTTTTTATCAAATTTTATAGAATTCAATTAGTTTCAAAATTTTCAATTAAAATTCTTTAAATTTTTATTTTTAATTATTTTAAACATTTTCAATTAAAAATTTCAAAAATTGAATTTTGTTTGAAAAATTATTCAAACATAGTTTTTAAAATTTCACTTTAGTTACAAGTCACTTTACAAAAATTAAAATAAGTTAGATTTTATATAAAAAAAAGTTATTTTCTTACAAAATATATATAAGAAAACTTGAAAAATTATACTTTTTTGAAAAAATAATTGGAAAAAATCAAAACAGTCATTCTGAGAATGTTTCATTAAAAATAAACAAAATTTTTTGTTCCTTTGTAAGGCCTAAAATAATTGTAAAAAACATATCTTTTAATTTCAAAAACTTCTGACCTTTAAAATGATTTATATAGTTAATATTTAAAATGGTATTTTACTTGGAGCTGTTAAGGCTTCCTCTATCTTCGCAGATGCCGAAGATGTATCCAAATCAATTTTTTCAACCGGTATAGTGGGATGAAATGTTAATTTAAATTTCTTGTTTCCCTCTGAAGAAGTTAAGGCCACAAATTTTTCTTTCTTTACAGCTTTTGAAGCTTCATATTCGGTGTCCGTATCACTGTTAGATGGATTTTTAATCGCACGTTGATGTCTTGATTTTTTCATTTTTTCACGATTTCTCTCGTCGTCTGTCTCGACATCGCTTAGGTTTATATAATACTCCACATTCTTTTCTGCCTCTTCTAACGTTTCTAAAAATTATTTTTTAACAATATTACTAGGGTTACAATTAAAGAAAAAGCGTATGTTCAGTTAAAAAATTTTAATTTACATTTATTTTTATTAAAAAAAATGAAAGGGAAAATTAAATAAATTAATTATTTTTCTAATTACATTTACCTACTTGTTAATAAAATTTTAATTTCTCTCCTTTTTCTAAATTGAACTGTAAAAAATTTTGATGAGGGTTTTTTGAATCAATTTATTAATTTAATTTAATAAAATTAAAGTTTCCTTGATTTTTAAAAAGTTTTAACGTACAAAAATTTCTAAACGAAAACATTTAAATTTTGAATAAAATAATCTGAAAATATTTTTAAAATTACTTTTTAAATACGTGTATTGAATGAACTTCTAAAATATTGTTGAATTGAATAATAAGTTAAAAAATATCCAAGAGAGAAAAATCTAACAATTATTTTATAATGCACTTTAAATACAGCTTGCCTCGAATCAGGGGAACTCTGTGCGCCCCAGAAAAGTGTCTAGGAGGTAGGAGAACACAGGGTTGAGTCGCGCAACATGACTGGAAAATGTGCTGCAACACGCTCTCTTTTTTCTCAGTGTATGCATTTTTTATAATATAAAAACCAGATTAAACCTTACTTTGTTGTATATTAAAAGAAGATAGATTTTCTTAAATGAACTTCATAAAACGAAACATTCTTACAATTGGAAAATTGTTTCTATTATATATTAAAATTACGTTGGTGAAGTTCACAACGTTTATAATCAACGATTTCATAAGAAAAATATTTTTTCAAGCAAATTTTTATTAATTTTTGTAGGTATAGAAAATATTTTGGTTAGTTTTTTGAATAATGATTTACAAAATAAATATTTATGAACAAAAAATTTTATTCTTTTTCGTAGGAAAATAATTTTTTTTTCAATCGTTGATCATAAACGTTGCGAACTTCACCGACGTTTAAAATTACTAACTTTATATATCTAAATTAAGATTATAATTTTTTAAAGCCATACATACCAAAGTAGCGATATGTTTTTTTGACAGGCCACATTTCACCTTCGTTTGTCCAATTTATATCTGGGATGGGATTATTTTTCAATATATCCTGAAGAAATTTCTTATTTTTTGTTGAGGGGAAGAAGCTTCTTGTCACATCTCCATTCGCGTCAAGTTCAGCCCAGTCAGTGCGAATTATTTCTACAGTATTATCATTAAATAATACGATAGCAAATTGATAATTTACTGCATCGACCGCCATGGTATATACACAAAAAATAACACTGAAATATTAACGAGAACACAAGAAATGAACAGTATCACAATGGAATGTGATGGAATGCTGCTTTTGCAAATGGCCAAACGCTGCTTTCATGCGATCATGCCTTTCATGTACTTGACATTCTGCGCAACTCTCTTGCGCATACTTTAAATTTTATTATTTTCTTGGAATTTTGATATAGTTCTATTAAGCTTAAATAATAAATTCTAATAATTACATTTTAATGCATGGAAAGTATATTTCTGAAATATATGCTGGTTTATCCACTTTTCTCTTAAAAAAATTAAAAAATCAAGAAAAAACATTGTTATTTATATAGCGGAAATGATGTTATATTCATTTTGAATCAAATGACGTCGTTTCCCTTTTGTGAATAATAACGCTGTTTCAAATAATTTTTTAACTCTTTTTACATAGGCATTAATAAATGTTAAATGTTTAGAATACATTCTATTTATCAAAAAATAATTATTAATATTTAAAATAAGTACAGCAAACATTTTAAATATAGGTTTGTGTTTATGCATGTTCTTGGAGACGTTATTGAAGGTTAGGCCGCCATAGGCGTGAGTTGCGCAGTAGGAATAAAACGTCAAGTTTAGTTGAGTCTGATTTCTTATATGCACTGTGACTGCCTCGTGTTCTCGCGCTTCGCTAATTTGCCTTGTAATTTGTTTTGTTTATCTTTGTGCTTTTCTTTATTTTCTTGTAATGTTTATGTTCTATTTTTAATTTGGTTTGGTTTTATATTGTTTAAATTGACGAACAGAATCAAAAGTATTTGTGATAGCAGAGAAACTAGTTTATGAGTTGTAAGTGAAAATTTGTATAGTTAACCTCAAAATCATAACGCACTTTTTGATGATCTCAATGCTAATATAAACTTTATATTTTATCATTGCAAACCAATTTTATTTTAATTGTTTACGACCATATAACAATACTTCAATATGTAAATTATCCAAAAGTGTAAGAAAAGAATAGTATTGGAGTAGAGTAGACGTTTTCCGACTTTTTTTCAAAAATGCTAAATACTTTTCTCAATTTATTAAAAAAAAAAATGTATATGCAGACCTTCAGAAATCCTATAATTTTTATAAGAATTTTGATATTAATATCCGAAAATCGATTCTGTCTAAACTCATTATTAATTTTTGTTATATATTATAATTCTTTTAAAAAGTATTTTAATCAAATTCTTTGAAAATTTAAACATTCTTCTTTTTCATGTTTATTTTATTTGGTTTTATTATTTTTATTTTCTTTTCTTTACTTAATTTCTCATAAAAGAAAATGTTTTCCCTAAAATCTAAAGTTACTAATACATACTAATACTTTCAATTTTTTTTTTTTCGAATTTTTGTTTTGAACTAGATTTCTTTTCTATATTTCTTGTAATCTAAATCGGCCAAAATAATTTTTATGGCCTTACAATTAATCGGAGAGTTGATATATAGCATTAATTGTGTAAAATGTAAGCAAATAATTAATTTTAAGTTCATGTTATATTCTTACCAAAAGTTTGTTTTCGAAAGAAGTAATTCATTTAGTTAGTTCAAGTAATAATTATTATAAATTTTGTTACTTTCTAAAAGTAACAAAAATCTTTTTTGTAAATGATAATTCATAAAAAGTAGAGAAATAATAAATTTATTGTAATTACCGACACTGTTTTTAAGTTATGTCTATTTTTAATTGCAGGGACTAATAATTTATAAAGATTAATTTTAACACAATAAAAATTATAATATTTAATTTTGCAAAAAACACTAAAGCATGTAATTTTAACTTCATACTTTCATATTCCTTTTTCAATTTGCATTGATACGATTTAACTTAATAATTTAGTCTTTGTTACATAATGGTTTCCAATGTACTTTCCACTCCTGAATACGATCCCTGATCTCAAATATAACCTAGCGTGACATACTTCTCAAGAAAGTTGGGTAAAGAAAGAAAAACGTGTTTTGGGGGTTTTCAAATTTTCCTTCTTTTTAAATACAGAAATCCAAAGTAAAATAAACAAATTTGAAATGTGTGAGTAAATACTAAAAACGTGATGTTAAAAAATTTTAATTTGTGTTATTTACTCTCTGAACTAAATTTACCAAATTTATCTAATTCCCGTCGATATGATACCACTAATTTAAAAAAAACGTATGTGCGCCAAATTTTTTTTCTTGAGTTTTTCAAAATCCCCTTTTTTAACCTATTTTTACGTGAAATGCCACTGTTGTTTCTAGTACATATAAATATATTTCTCTTTATGACCAACAAGAACTATGCATTTGATAAAATTTCACTAAACAAATTTTGACCTTTCAGAGCCGAAAATTTTGTTAATTGCAGGGCTCGGATTGGGCGACTTTTTCGACTTTTTTCGACTTTTTTGTGAAAAAATGCGACTAATCGACTTTTTTGAGATTCATTTTAGGAAAATACGAATGAAATTTAAATTTTTTTTTTAAATTTAAAGGAAAAAGTTTGAGTCAAAAAAATATTCTGTTACATTTATTTACAAATTTTTTGAAAACATCAGTAACTTCTTTTTTGAATAAATATTTAATTATTATTTTTCCATAGAAATTAAAATTCTTCAAAAGATTCAAACTCAAACCTTTTTGAAATTAAACAACTTATAAAAAAATTGTTATAAAACATGAAGAAATCGATTACTCCGAGTCTTCGACTCGGAACAATCGATGTCTTCATGTTTTATAATAATTAAAGATGACCGAGTGATAAAATCATTAATTTAAATTCTAAGACTTTATAAAAAAAAATTTTTTTAATTATTTTTTATGCAAATAGTTGAATTATTGGGAAGAAATTTATAAAATATTAGTAAGTACCTAATTGAATTTTGCAGAAGAATGTTGATATTTACAAAAATAATTGAAATTTTTAAGAGAATAAAAAAAAATTTTGAAAATAATTGAATTTCTGTCAAGAATTTTCTTACTTTTGAAGATAATTGAATTTTGCAAAAAATTGTATCAGAACTTTTTAAAATAATTAAATTTCCAGGATGAATTTTATTATTTTATGAAGATAATAAAAATTTTAACGAGGAATTTAAAAAAAATTTTGAAAATAATTGAATTTCTAGGATGAATTTTATTATTTATAAAGATAATTGAAAATTTGACAAGAATTATATTAAAATTCTTTACAAATAATTGAATTTCAGAGAAGAATTTTATTATTTTTGAAGATAATTGAATTTTGCAAAGAATTTTATCAGAACTTTTAAAAACAATTAAATTTTTATGATGAATTTTATTATTTATAAAATGTTTTGAATATAATTGAATTGGTGTGAAGAATTTTATTACTTTTGAAAATAAATGAATTTCAGAGAAGAATTTTATTATTTATGAAGATAATTGAAATTTCGACAAGAATTTTATTAAAATTTTTGTTAAATAATTGAATTTCGGAGAAGAATTTTATTATTTATAAAAATAATTGACATTTTAAAGAGAATTTTTAAAAAAATGTTAAAAATACCTAATTAAAATTTTGCTATGAATTTTATTAAATTTTATTCCTGATTGTTTGATATTAATGTATCTGTTGTTGAGAAATGTGATTTTTTTTACAATTTTGACAATTTAGTGTTTTTTTTGTCGTTTTTTCTAAAATTTCATGCGACTTTTTTCCAACTTTTTTGGAAATTTTATGTGACTTTTCTTGACTTTTGTTGTAAATTTATGCGACTAAAGCGACTTCTTTTAGTCTTAAAGACGATCCGATCCCTGTAATTGTTATTTTAAAAATAAAAACGTTAGTGATATATCAATATAAATGTAGTTACTTCAAGAGAAACTATCAAATATTTCTTTGGTCCTAAAAATATTTACAATTTATTTATAAAGAACAGACCATTTTATAAAAAAATTAATTTTTAAAATTTATATATAAATTATTTAAAATAAATAAATTTTAAGAAACTCTCGGAAAAAATTAATTTAGCAGATTTTACCAAACTTTAACGGAGTAGCGGATACAGCTTATTACGAAACCGAGTTTTGTAAAGTGTAAAGAATATTTCAGGATAAACTTTAGAAATATTCAGTATAAACTACGAAATTTCTATACTTGATCCTGAAATATTCCTTACACTTTACGAAACTCAGTATTGTAATAAGCTGTATCCGTACTGTGTGACCGTTTTGTAATATCTGGTAAATTTATTTTTTCCTTGTATTTACACTATAATTCTGTAAAATTTTCAATGTATAAGAATTTCAGAAAATAATTGAATATATTAAAAATTATTATGTTTTAAATAAATTTTAGTAACCATGGGGAAAATCATGAAAAAACAACCACCGAAAAAATATGGCATTTCTTCACGTCGCTTTCGAAAAATAGTTCAAGAACGCTTGTTAAACGATTGCAATCTCGTGCAATCTCAGCATAGTTCATCGACTCCACTCGAAACAAGTATTGGAGAAGTCTCAAATATTTCATCACTTTTACCTAATGTCGAATTACCTACTTTTATTGACAGTGAACCACCATCAAAATTATGCAATGTTAATATAGACTTGAATTTGTGTTCATCATCATTTTCAGACAATAATGAAATTTCTAACGCACCATGTATTGAAAACGAGCCTTGTGAAATGGAATCCAATGTTAGTGACAAGTTTGTTTTAGATTTCGACTCTGACAATAATTACAATTTTGATAGTGATTCGGAAATCACATGTAATGAAGACACCAGGAAGACCGATAGTGATCTTGGCGAAGATGACTTGGAATTATCAGATTTTTTATATCGGGATGAAACACCTGTAAAGGAAAATACGTTCTCAGCCAAGCTCCGAGAATGGGCATTAAAGTTCCACATAACTTTAATTGCCCTTTCAGCTTTATTACTCTTGCTAAGAGTATTTGATTCCAGTTTACCAGTAGATGCAAGGACGTTGTTAGGAACCCTCAGAAAAACAGAATGTGCTGAAATGAGTGATGGTGTGTATCACCACTTTGGTTTGGAAAGAGCAGTTGAGAACATACTTATTGAAAGAAGAAATAAAGGTGTGCAAGATCAAAAAGTAAAATTAATGATAAATGTAGATGGTGTTCCAATTTCGAATAGTGGGAAAAATACTTTCTGGCTTATATTGTGCTCCGAAGTAAATTCTGAGATCGTGTATCCTGTCGGTGCTTTCTACGGGACGAAGAAACCAATAGATGCAAACGAATTTCTTAATTCTTTTGTTCAAGAAGCAATCAACGTTTGTGAAAAAGGCGTGAAGAATCATAATGTTACTATAGAAGCTATAATTTGCGACGCCCCTGCAAAATCATTTATTTTGTATTTAAAAGGACACACTGGATACGACTGTTGTCCCAAGTGTCTAATAACAGGTGTATGCCATAGACCGCCACCATCAACAAGAGGAAAGAAGAAGAAGGGAAAAGTTTGTTTTCCTGGTATAGGACCATTTGCGCTAAAAACGGACCAGGATTTTAAACGCAATAAATATAATAGCTTTGAAACAGATGTTGAAATTGTTCTTACAAAGCTTCCTGGATTTGGCTGTATCAGTTGCATTCCTTTGGACTATATGCACTTAGTTTTGCTTGGAGTCACGAAAAAACTAATTTCTCTGTGGGTTCTCCGTAAATCAAAAGTAAAAATATCTTCCGATGCCTTAAACACAATATCAAATCGACTACTTCTGTTGCGAAATACAATTCCCGTTGAGTTTAATAGAAGGCCAAGGACTTTATGGGAATATAAATTCTGGAAAGCAACAGAATTTCGCACATTTTTGTTGTATGCAGGTGTCATTGTATTGCAAAACGTTGAAGGATTTTCTAGCGAGCTTTATTCTCATTTTCTCTTACTGCATACAGCAATTTCTATCTTATCAAGTGACAGACATATTTGCGACCCTAGAAATATTGATGTAGCACACGAAATGTTACAATTGTTTGTAACAGACTTCGATTCTCTTTATGGAAAAGAATTCATTTCCTACAATGTGCACAACTTGTTGCACCTTTGTGCAGATGTTAAACGATTTGGAGCTCTAGGAAATTTCAGCGCCTTTAAATTTGAAAATTATATGGGGACTGTGAAAAGGATGATCAGAAAGGGAGATAAACCGTTACAGCAACTTGCTAGAAGGTATGCAGAGGTCGAAAACATTCAAAAACTGAAGAATTATGCAACTGAAGAATTTATTCTAGATCATGCTCACAATAGAGGACCATTAACTCAAGACTGCCTAACAAATATTCCTAAACAATACAAAAATTTAAAAACCAAAGGATTTTCAATAAATTGTGATGATATTAGGAATAATTGTGTTATGCTAAAGGATGGAACATTCTTAATAGTAGAAAACATTTTGCAATTGGGTGGTCAGGACATTAAGATAGTTGGACATAGGCTTTGTTTCAAAGGCAGCCTATATGAAGATCCTGATTCCAGGTTAATAAATATTTACATGGCCAATAATGTCAATGAAGAGGAAAAACATTGTTTACTATTAAGCGATGTTATATCAAAAGCGTGGAAAATTCCAACCTCGAAAGGAATCGCAGTAATTCCATTATTGCACAAAGCAGAACGAAAATAGATGGTCACAATCATCACCCATTTTTTCCAGTGTTAATATTAAAAAGAACTTCTAGGTAACGTATATTATTATAATTTTTAGATCCTTAAAAAATAAATTACAAAAGAAAAAATTAAAGTATTTTTCTGTAATAAAGTAAATTAATTTAATTGAACATTGAATTATTAATAAAATATATAATCGATTAAATAATAATATGAGTAATAATCTTTCAGAGTTAAATTAAATATAATTTCCGACGAGAAAACTACTGGAAAAATTCAGAAATCAAGGCATTAAAGGGTGACTAAATATTCATTAACCTTAAAGAGAGAACAAATTGTGGCCGTATCTTCTTCACATGCTGATGGGAACGAAAATGGAACGTCCGTTAATTCGAAGAGCAGAAATACAGAAAAGGAAGAAAGCAATGAGGGAAACACGAAATAAAAATTTAAATTTCAGTCGACTATATCGGTAAAGGAACAATTTTTTTTTGGATACATCTTCGGCATCTGCGAAGATAGAGGAAGCCTTAACAGCTCCAAGTAAAATACCATTTTAAATATTAACTATATAAATCATTTTAAAGGTCAGAAGTTTTTGAAATTAAAAGATATGTTTTTTACAATTATTTTAGGCCTTACAAAGGAACAAAAAATTTTGTTTATTTTTAATGAAACATTCTCAGAATGACTGTTTTGATTTTTTCCAATTATTTTTTCAAAAAAGTATAATTTTTCAAGTTTTCTTATATATATTTTGTAAGAAAATAACTTTTTTTTATATAAAATCTAACTTATTTTAATTTTTGTAAAGTGACTTGTAACTAAAGTGAAATTTTAAAAACTATGTTTGAATAATTTTTCAAACAAAATTCAATTTTTGAAATTTTTAATTGAAAATGTTTAAAATAATTAAAAATAAAAATTTAAAGAATTTTAATTGAAAATTTTGAAACTAATTGAATTCTATAAAATTTGATAAAAAAAATCATCAAATTTAAATTTGAAATCAGACATTTTTAACAAAATTTTGTACCAATATTTTAATTGTAAAAGATTTATCGTTAAATACAATTAAATTGTTAGAGTTTTAATTGAAAATATTTCATTTTTTATTTGACAGTCTCTAATCCTGAAGAGGTAAACTCAAACTCCTTAGATAAAGAGGAACCACAAGATTCAAATTTATTGCAAGATTCAGCTGGTGACAATGGTATGCCGTCTAATAATGGAGGAAATCAGTCAAATGCAAAACCGCATTCAAATGCAGTTCTTAATCTTGCTGACTGTAAGTATATAATAACTATTAAATTAAATATAGATCATAGGATAATTACTTTCCTAAATATGATTTAATTTTTTTAGATAAATGATTATGCATTTTTTATGAAACTAAAATTTCGTAAAATTATATTGAAAATAATTTAACAAAAAAAATTTGCGAAGTCATTTGCAAATAAATTATAAGTATTTTTATATTTCTTGTCATTTTTATAGTAATTGAGTCCAGGGTTGCCACAGGTCAGGGAATTCAGGGAAAAGTCAGGGATTTTTAGCAAATGTACTGGAAAAATTGAATTTTAAAAATTCATGAAAAAACTCTGAAATTTGATATTTTTTTTGTTTGTCTCGTAAACTATGAAATTACCACGAATTTTAATACAAAACCTTGAATTTTTTCTATTTCAGACAATAATTTTTTTTTAAATAACTTAATTTTACAAAAACTATCATAAAATTATGACTCATACGTGATTTAATGAATCATTTTTACAATTTTCATAAATACTAAATTGATAAAAAAAATTTAGTTAAAAATAATAAAAAAAAAATTGAATTTTTGAAAAGTTACGTCAGTTCAGTATCATCTTTATAAATAGTACAATTCTTCTTCGAAATTCAATTATTTTTAAAAACTTGAATAAAATTCTCGTTAAAATTTCACAGGAATTCAATAATTTATAAAATATTTAATAAATTTCTTTGAAATAATTCAATTATTTCCATAAATAATAAAATTCGTCACAGAAATTCAATTAATTAAAAAGAGTTTTATAAAATTCGTCGCATGAATTCAATTATTTTTATAAATAATGAAACTCATCGCAGGATTTTAATTAATTTTTGATACAATATTCTGATTAAATTCTTCGATAAATATAATTATTCTTAAAAATTTCATTAAAATTTGTCAAAATAATTGAATTATTTAAAAATTTGTTGATAAAATTCTTTATGAGAATTTTTTTGTTGAGAAAATTTACTACTTTTTGAAAATAATTGAATTCTTGCGAAGGATTTTATTAGGATTTTGATAAATAATAAAATTCTTTTTGAAAAATTTCATGGTAATTTAAATTATAACAAAATATAAAGAAGGCGATCACTCCGAGTCGAAGACTTGGAGTAATCACCTTCTTTATGTTTTGTAATAATATTCTTATAAATTGTTGAATTTTAAAAAGGTTTGAATTTGAATGTATTGAAGAATTTTAATTCCTACGGAAAAATAATAATGATTTAATTATATTTATTTAAAAAAGAAATTATTGATGTTTTTGAATAATTTTACAATTAATGAAATTCATAAATAAATGTTATAGAACATTTTTTTGAGTTTTTAATAGTTTTTAGAGTGAATCAGAATATTTTTTAGGGTCAGGGAAAAAGTGAGAATTTTGTCTGGAAATTAGGGAAAAGTCAGGGAAAAATAAAATTAAATATTTGTGGCAACCCTGAATTCTTAATAGGGTAACTGCTCCAGTCGTTGGCACCCTTAAAACCAAATTTTGACTTTAGGAATTATTTTAATAGATAAAAACTAATATTATATAATACTTATAGTAAAATATGTATTCAGAATTTAATGCAGAATACGATAAAATGATAAATTTTGAATAAAATTAAACTGAAACTTTTAAATTATCTAATAATGATATAATGACACCAATTTCCAGTCGTTGGCACCCATACATAATCTTTAAACTTCTTATGTTTCAAACAAGCAAATTAATTTTTTTTTATTTTTTGATTTAACAAGAATAATTTATTATAATTTTAAGTAATAAACAACTACAAGAAAATATACTTATGTATAATTCAATAATAAATGTATATATATATTTTTTTTTTCAAAGAGACTGGAGCAGTTACCCTATTTTTTGAAATTATAGAAGTCATATTTTTCCAAAAATTATTTATTAGTATTTTTTAAATTTAAATGTTATTCAAGACCGGTAATAATCATATATTGCTTAAGTATTTTTTTCATGATTGAACATTCGTTGTTGCGATTTGCTTAATATGTTAATCGTTCATTATTAAAAATATATTATTTGGTTAAATCAACTATATTATTTTCAGTAGATGCATATCAGAAAGTTATGTTGACAAAAGTCACAAAAATAGAAGTGTCTGTAGATTTACTTGGTCGAATGGCAAAATCAAATGGTAGCAATACTATTGTAAACGATGTGACTTATTCATTTATGCATAAGGGGGAAGAGTTAAAAATGTTTCCTCTAAAAAGTAAAGAGGATTTTGACAGAACTGACCCTAAACTTGTACTAGACTCCGAATTGTACAAAATAGTTGTAAGTATATTTTAATTTGTTATAAGTTTTTTTAGAACCAACCAACCAACAACGCTATAATAATTATTTTATTGGTGGTTTTTATATGTGAACGTCCACATGAAAAGGGCCCATTTTATCGGTTTTAGTTTTCGAGATAATCGCAATTAAGTAATTTTTGAGAAAAACTTTAATTTTTTTATTTTTTATTATCAATCTACATATTTTTACAAGTCAAATCATGCGGTCTTCATTAATTTATTGTTAATTAAAGTGTTTGATTTCATTGGTGCTTTACAAAGAAGAAAAGGGTCCATTTTGTCGATTTTTTTTAAATATTCCGTATTTTCCATAGAGAAGGGGGGAGGGGGGATATAAAACCTATTGATTTTTTATTTTTAAGGACTGAAAACAATTATTATTTGAATAACTTACCAGAAGAACCAGAGATATCACAATTATTTGGTATCACAATCTTTAATTCAGTTTTTCTCGAAATGAGGATTTTGGAATTACAAACTTTGAAATTATGTAATTTATTGAATTTTTTTACCAAACAAGTTCTATGACCACTCAAAATTTTCTAAATTTTGCAAGCAATTCACCCATACAGATAAGTCCAATAGTGCCAAAATTAAATAAGACTTTTTTCATGTGAATGTCCACATATTAACACAAACAATACTTAATATTGACTCACACTATAGTTATTAAATTTTGATATTTTTTACAGTACAGTGCGCTGAAGAATGTAGGAATATATAATACACCCAGTTTAACAGTGTCAGCAATGATGGAGAATGTAATGACTTTCAATCTGGGAAAGGAGTATTGTTTATCAGGAAAAAACAAGGAGAAACACAAATTCAGCCTTACAAATCTCTACAAGTTAATTTCCAGTATGTTAAAAATTCTCTATGTTATCTAAAATTGCCCTCTGCATTTTCAAAGGAGTCTGATCATTTTATTACATGGTTGCCACAAAAAATTAAACTTTGTTTTTCCCAGGTTTCATGACAGAATTTTGACTTTTTCCCTGACCCTAAAGAATATTCTGATTTACTTTAAAATAATAATTAGATACTGAGAAAAATGTTCGAATACATTTATATAATTTTTTTAGTTGTAAAATTATTCAAAAAGAACATTAACTTCATTTTTAAATTCAAAAATAATTAATTTCTTCAATAATTGAATGTTTTTTAAAATTTAATTTTTACGAAGAATTTTATTAACAACTTTTGAAAATAATTAAATCGTGAATTTCGAAGAGGGCTGTTTTTTGTGAGAAAATGATAAAAGAATTGTCCTCAAAAACAGTAAGTTAAAAATAATAAATTTTAATAAATTTTTTTTAGCTCAAAAGCAATTCAGCATTAGGTTAAAAAACAAGCAATCTTAGTTTAAAAGTAAAAAAAAGACACTTTAAAACATTTTTCTAATCTAAAAGTACCTCAGATGAATTTTTTCTTTTAAGAAAACGGCAATGAATATGTAATAATGCAAAAAATACAAATTAAGTAAAATTTGAAAAAAAAATCCGAGTTGAGACCTTTTCGAAATTCACTATTCAATTGAATTCATGCGAAAAATTTTATTAAATTTTGTTTAAATAACTGAAATTTTGTCAAGAATGTTATTAAAATTTTTGACAATAATTTAATTCTTGAGAAGAATTTCGCTATCTATTTATAAAGATAATTTAATTCTTGAAGAGAATATTTAAAAACTTTTGAAAATAATTTAATTTCTACAAAGTATTTTATTATTTACAAAAAAAAAATTATTGCCACGAAT